TGTATTGTAACACGCTCAGAGTCTGTGTACTTTAATCGGAGTTGAGCGCTATATAAATGTCATTTATTATTAGTATTACGGGTTTGAGCCTCGGTTCGGACACGAATTTTTTTCGCCTCCTCCTGCCCACCCAGCAATAATGGGTACCTGACTTCGACTTGAGGATTCCCTTTCTTAAAGGCGTGTAAAGGAACTGGCCACCCTACCACAATATGCCGAAGGCCCAGGAAGTTGTCTCACTAACAAGGCCATCCTCAATGTCCGGATGGGATGCGGGAACAACTTTACTTTGCTGTGTCAATGACGAGTCAATGTGATTGACACAGTGTAACCAGATAACACATTAGTCGTGTAAGTCGTGTGTGAGGATACGTGAATGCACGTGTAGTTATTGTCTTTCCGACGTTGAAAAAAAACAACAAACAAAAACAACAAACAAAAACAACAAACAAAAACAACAAAAAACAAACTGCGAAAATAAAAAGAAAAAAAAAGAAAAAAGAAAAGAATAAAACCAATTTTTTTTTAATGGAAGGGGCATAACCAAGAGTGAACCAGATCAGGTCTATGGTATACTTCGATGATATACTTTAATAGTGCCCCTTCTTCTGAACAGACATGAGGCAAATACGCGTAGGGTGGGTTTGACCAAAGATGGTACATAACAAGATTGTTCACTCAGCCCAAATAGTGTCCCCGGAAGTCCTGCATTGTTTCAGATGGCGCTGCTGTCTTTGTTTTGAAGCTCTCTTTTGTTTCTCCAGAAGAAGAATAGCTTTTATTGTTTTTCACACAAGTAGGGTAACTCTGTTCGCAAAGTCGGCGCTTTTTCGAAGAGGGAGCTACTGAATTTTGAGGACACTTTTTTTAATTGGCTCAACGAGAGGAGTGAACTATCTTGTCATACACGATCTTTGGTTTGACAAAGCTATACGCAGAAGGGAGCGTCCATGGACAGATAAATGTGACGACGACTGCTTTCTGCCCTGTGTGCTTGACAGTGCAGTGCAGTGCAGTGCAGAGCAGTCAGTCTGCTAGTCTCTAGGCATTGTCTAACCTGAGCAGAACGACAGCAGCTAAATAAAACTGAGAACTTTGCGAAATGCTCTGTTGTTTCTAATTTTCTTCAGATCATTTTTTTGTTTACGGGAATAAGGTGATCTTTGTCATTTTATATACAAAAGTCAGACCGACAAAAGACCTGAACAACTCATACAGTAGGCGACGCGACACAGGTACCACCAAGACGCTAAACGTAACCTTATTTCCAATTTAAAGAAAATCTACAACTTAACATGCCTAACATAACTTAACACCCTGAGGACATGGTTGTATAGATACTTGTATCACTCTGCAAATGGCTCTGAAAAAAAAGATACCAACACTAAGCGATTGCAAAAACGAAATAAAAACTCACACACTTCCCTTCCAATGGTACATTTATTTAGTCTTGATATTTTTTGACAAAATACTTTGATAACAGGCAGCATGGCAATATATCACAGGTGAGTATTTACATATCACCCGCCAGTTTCAAACTGTTAACGAGGATGGACCTTCTCAATAAACAAAAACTGGAAACGTTTCTCTCTCTTTCTCTCTCTTTCTCTCTCTCTCTCTCTCTCTCTCTCTCTCTCTCTCTCTCTCTCTCTCTCTCTTTCTGTCTCTCCTTCTCCCGAGCGCTGTCTCTCTCTCTCTCTCTCTCTCTCTCTCTCTCTCTCTCTCTCTCTCTCTCTCTCTCTCTCTCTCTCTCTCTCCCCCTCTCTCTCTCCCGTACGCAGTCTCTCTTTTTCCTTCTCTCAAATCAACTGCTTTATATTAAGTGAATCTCAGGTACATTTGCAAGCAGTGCAAAATCACATCTGACTAGACTGCCAGTTGCCGTCAATAGTATCATCAACATCATCATTATCATCATCATCCTCATCATGATTATCATTTTCGTTTTCATCACCGATGTAGAAGCATCATCATAAACATAAACAATAACTACAACAGGCAAGATGATAACCACATCAGTAAAAACGATAACAAAAACGTCAAAGTCATTATCAATACCGTTATCATCTAACAGTCAACGATATTTACACACACACAACCTACACCAGCGACTGTAGAGCAAATTACCAACAAAACCATAGACTTGTAAGATCCTAGATCGTTAACTCTGACGTACTTCTGGGTTACTACTCGGCGCCTCAGCGCACCATTTGATTCACATAGAGTACAACGAAGAGCAAGGTCGGGGCTACGGAGGCTGGGGGAAGTGGGGGAGGTGGGGTGGGGTGGGGGGATATACCTTCCATAAGCACTCCACAATATTAAAACTGGTGTTCTGTCCTCAATTTAAACGTAACAACTAGGCAAATAGTGCGCACGGTTTGCAGTGAAGATTTTATTCTGTCGAGAGCAAAGGTAAGCTGGGATCACAGTGCGCGATCTAGGGTTACAAATCTATGAAAAGAAAGGCACTGAGTAGAAATAAATGTTCAGTTATAGCAGCAATGACAGAAGTGTAGTGAAGGTCAACTCCACAAGAGAGTGTTTTTTATCACACATTTATGAATGTACTGAGGCTGACCAAACAAAAAACAAAAAAAAAAAATTCTGTTAAACTACTAATTCTACAATTAACTCACATCAAAATAGGACCTCAAAATGGTGTCACATTTACTACTATCCAATGCGGTTTTTAAACAGATCTCGTGTCAGCACAAAAATTGGACTAGGATCGGTTTCACTCATTGAAAACATAATTAGTATTTTATCATTTAATTAGGAGTAAACAGTTAATTAGAGTACAAAATCAGTAACCGTTTAAGTCCACAAAATATACTGTGAGAATGCTTCGTGTCGAATTTTAACAAGTCTTCCGGGAAAACAAACAAACAAGGCACTTAAAACAACTATAAGACACGAGAGAGAGAGAGAGAGAGAGAGAGAG